TCTGTACGGTCTCAGCTTTACAGAGGTGCGTTCCTCCCTGTTCTGCTGCTGCTGCTGCTCCTCGTGCTAGAGTGGAGGTGCAGCAGCAGCTACTGCTGCTGCCGCTGCTGCTTCTGCTGCTACGGGCTCTTATTTTGGTGCTGCAGTACTGCGGTTTGCTGCTGCAGGTGGCGATCCCTGTAGATGAGGCTAACAGAAGTCAGGCTGGGGGCGCCAGCACAGTGCAGCAGCAGCAACAGCAGCAACAGCAGCAGCAGCAGCCGCAACAGCAGCAGCAGCACGAGGGAGCGACTGCTTCCCTCGTCTTAGCGCAGCAGGAAGGCGTCTCTTCGCAGCCGGAGCAGCAGCAGCAACAAGACCAGCAGCCGCCTCCACAACAGCAATCCCAGCAGCAAAAAGTGCAGCAACAACCGCAGCAGCAGCAGCAGCAACTACGGGGCTGGCTGATACCGGCTGAGCAGCGCAGCAGCAGGAAGGCTATTATTTGCATGCACGGTTGGCTGTCTAACAGACAGGCGTGTCTCCCTTTCCTTGAAGCAGCTAAACAAGTAAGACAATTGCTGCTGCTGCTGCTGCTCTTGTTGCTGCTGTTGCTGCTGCTGCTACTGCTGCTGGCTTTGCTGCGGCTGCCGCTGGTGCGTGTGTCGCTGCTGCTCGCGTTGCTTCTGCTGCGGCGTCTTGGTGCAAGGGCGCGGCACTATGAACGAGTTGCTGCTGCTGCTGCTGCTGCTGCAGCTTAAGCTCCACAAGGACCACCACATTTTGCTGCTGGACATGCGAGGAAGCGGCGACTCTGCTGCAGTTCGTCGGGCTGCAGCAGCGCCAGCAGCAGTCCCTCCTTCCCCCAGCAGCAGCAGCAACAGCAGCAGCAACAGCAGCAGCAGCAGCAGCAGCAGCACGGGGGAAGATTGGTGGGCTGTCGAAGCAGCAGCATCGCAGCTAGCTACAGATGCACGAGAAGACCTGGCAGCAGCAATTTGCTTCTTAAAGAGACAAATTAACGCTAAAGAAATTGGGGTGTATGCACAGGGTGGAGCTGCAATGGGCGTCTTGCTGCTGGTATAAAGGCTGCTGCTGCTGCTGCTGCTGCTTTGGCTGCTGCTGCTGCTTTGGCTGCTGCTGCTGCTTTGGCTGCTGCTGCTGGTGTCTCTGCGGGTTTCGCTGCTGCTCCTGTTGGTTTGTCTGCTGGGCTTGCTGCTGCTGCTGCTGCGGTGTCTTTGTGGCTTTCAGTTTGCTCTTGCTGCTGCTGCTGCTGCTGCTGCTGCTGCTTGCAGAAGCGGGAAGAAGACTGGCTGCAGCAGCAAGGGGTGTCTCTCGAAAAAGTGCTGCTGGATTCTCCCATATGCAGCGCTGCTGCGCTGCTGCAGCAGCAAGCATCAAACCGCCCCGTTGCGCGCTCGCTGCTGCAGCTGCTGCAGCACCTCACATGGGGCCTTGGCAGCAAGTAAGAAGACACATCACAGCAGCAGCAGAAGCAGCAGGAGCAGCAGCACCGGCAGCAATGGCAGCACTAGCAGCAGAAGGTACAGCAGCAGCAGTAGCTGCTGCTGCAGCAGCAGCCAAACAAACAAATGTACCGCACAGCCCACTTTAACGGTAGCAGCACCAGCAGCAGCAACACGACAAGCAGCAGCAGCAGCAGCAGCAGCAGCAGCAGCAGCAGCAGCAATGTTGCGTGTGTTGCAGGCGCGCATCTGAACTGCGGCGGCTTCGTGCAAGTTTATCGCTGGAGTGTATAGACAGCAGCAACACGGTTTTAATTCTGAGTGAAGAAGACAAATTCAACTTGTGGCAGCTGCTGCAGCAGCAGCTGCTGCTGCTGGAAGAAGACAAACGCCCGCGGTAAGCCAACGCATACACTGCTGCTGCTGCTGCTGTCGCTGCTGCTGTGAAGGTTTCAGTAAATTGAGCAGCAGCAGCTGCTGCTTCTGCTGTTTCAGCTGGAAGAACAGCGGCTGCTGCCTCTGTGGCGAAAGCAGCAACTCACATAGCATCAGCAGCAGCTGCAGCAGCAGCTGCTGCGCTTGTGAGTGCAGCAGCAGCAGCAGCAGCAGCAGCAAGATTGTGTTGCGTGATTGCGTTTAGGGCGACGTACTTACTAAAGAAAGGGCAGCACTGCAACCTAGCAGCAGCAAATGCTGCCGCATTCAAAGCCGCAGTTGCTGCTGCTTTTGTCTCTCCTTCGTCGCTGCAGCGGCTGTGGCGGTTGCTGCTGCCAGCAGCAGCAACGCGAGCAGCAGCTCCTCCTGAATCTGTACTGCTGACGCCCAGGGATCTTTCTATGATGAAAGAGCAACAGCAGCAAATCAAGCTGCATCAGCAGCACATGCTGCAGCAAGACAAACAGGTGCGGCTTCCGCAAGAGCAACAACAGCAGCAGAAACAGCAGCAGCAGCAGCAGATAGCGTGATGGCGTCTGGCTTGTTGCTGCTGTTTTGCTGCTGCAGGAAGAGGAAGAGGAGCTTCTAGAAGAAGCAGACGCAGATGACGAAATGAACGACGCTTAGCTGCAGCAGCTGCTGCAGCTGCTGCGATGGCAGTTGACCAGAAGAGCTGCAGCTGCTGCATGCTGCTGCTGCAGCAGCTGCAGCAGTAGCAGCAGGTGTTGCTGTTGGGGTTAGCAGGGCTTTGCTTAGGACAGTTCCTTTGCAAAGGCAGCAGCTGCAGCAGCAGCAGTTCTCTGGTCGTTCATTCTAGGGTTTAGGGTTTAGGGTTTAGGGTTTGCGGCTGTTAGGCGGCGAAGGGCCTTCTGCTGCTGCTGCCTGTGAGAGAATTTATTTTCTCCGTCGAAGGCCTCAGCGCTTTGTCTCCTTATGCATTCACCTGCTGCATTTGCATGCATGCAGCAGCAGCAGCAGCAGCAGCAGCGGCAGCAGCAGGTACTGTGGCGTGCATGCACGCTTGTGCTTGCTGACAGCAGAACAACTCAACTGGCTTCTAGCTAGCTAGCTAGCTGTCCAGTAGCTAGCCAGCTAGTAGCTAGCTACCTGCTAACTTGCTACCAACATAGATGTTGGGTGGACAACCAGCTAGCTAGCTAGCTAGCTAGGCAGCTTTCTAGTAGCTAGCTGACGAGGTGTCCCGTAGCTACCTCGCTAGCTCGCCAGGTAGTCGCTAGCTGGCAAGCTAACTAGCCAGCTGCCTAGTAGCTAGCTAGCCAGCTGTCTAACAGCTAGCTAGCCAGCTGTCTCCTAGCTAGCTAGCAAGCTATGTATGCCTCTAGCTAGCTAGCTAGCTAGCTAGCCAGAGAAAGGCAGGCTGTCTACGCGTGCAGCAGGGACTGCACAAAGGTCCCCGGCTAGCTAGCTAGCTAGATATATAGATAGATAGATAGATAGATAGCTAGCTAGCTAATAATCGCTAGTGGTTAGAGTAGGTTAGGTAGACTGAGAGCAAGAGACAGCACGCTGCTTGTTAGGCAGCTTTGCTGCTGCTGCTGCTGCTCCAGCACCAACAGCAAGCTAGTGCTGCTACTGCTGCAGCAACACTGGGAACGAGCAGAATCCAGCAGCAGCTTCAAATGCTGCTGCAGCAGCAGACTGCAACGGCAGCAGCAACAGCCGCAAGTGCTGCTGCTGCTGCCAGCAACAGCAGCTGCAGCAGAAGCCCTCTCCTATTCACCCCACACTGAGGCTCCTGCTGCGGAGCATCTCATAGCACCGAACCAGCAGCGGCCAGCAACTGCAGCAGCAGCACATCAGCAGCAGCAGCAGCACATCAGCAGCAGCAGCAACAGCAGCAACAGCAGCAGCAGCAACAGCAGCAGCAGCAACAGCATGCAAGGGTAGAAAGAGAATAGACAGCAGCGTATCCGTAGTCAGGAGCTGTATCGCCCGAGCCCGAAACGAGTTCTGCTGCTGCTGCTGTTGCTGCTTCTACTGCAGCAGCAGCAGCAGCAGACCAACACTAATGCTGCTAGTTTTTGTTTATACGTGCTGGCGTGCAGCGACTGATGGGGGCTTTGAAGATGCAGATAAATGCAGAGACACTGCAAAAAAGCAATTGCTGCTGCTGTTGCAGCAAAATGCAGCAGCAGCAGTAGCAGCAGCAGCAACATGTTCTGCTGTTGCTGCTGCTGCTGCTGCTGGGGGAGGCGCAAGGAGTCGGCTGTGCCGCAGCAGCTAACCGTTACTCTCAATCTTTTTCTTTTGTTTGCATGCGATTTAATTAATAAAGAATAATCAAAACGTTGATTATAAAGTAGCCTTAGCATCTGCTACTACCAGCAGCAAGGGGCTGCTGCTGCAGGTCCCTGGGGCTGCTGCTGCTGCTGCTGTTGTTTCTGTTGCTGCTGCTGCTGCATTACGAGCAGCAAGAAGCTGATTCTCGCTTTGTTAAGCAAAGACAGATTGTGCGGAGGCATACATACACTGTAACTCAGGCGCCGGGGAGCAGCAGCACCACCGACAGCAGCAGCAGCAGCAGCAGCAGCAGCCGAAGCCGCAGCCGCAGCAGCATCAGCAGCAGAAGCAGCAGCAGAACATACCGCTGCTGCATGACGGGTGTTCTCTACAGTGTGTGTCTGCTGCGGTCGCCTCAGGCCCTGAGTCAAGAGGCTATAGTAGAGCAGCAGCACCCGCTGCATCCGCAGCAGCAATCGCTGCAGCAGCAGCAGCAAAGCATCTGCACTTGCTGCTTTCTATCAGGCCCCTGAGTAACGGCAGCAGCAGCAGCAGCAGCAGCAGCAGCGCGGAGGCCTTAGCGGACGGGGCGCCGGCGAGCGTGCAGCCGCTGCACCGGGCATAGAAGGAGCAGCTTGCAGCAGCAGCAGCAGCTTGCAGCAGCAGCAGCAGCTTGCAGCAGCAGCAGCAGCTTGCAGCAGCAGTTCTTTCGAAGAAGCAGCAGCATGTGCAGCAACAGCTGCAGCCAATGGCGAGTGGTTGGAGCCCAGACTTCTTGCAGGCCTCCGCCGCCTGTCTCTGGCAGCAGCCGCTGCTGCAGCAGCAGCGGGGGCTACTGCAGCAGGGAGTGCCGCAGCAAGGCGAGCAACAGCAGCAGCTGCAGCAGCAGCACCTGCTCCAGCAGCAGCATCAGAGATGGGGAGAACCAGGGGAGCAGCAGCAGCAGCAGCAGCAGCTGTTGCCGTTCCTTGCACAGCAGGAGCAGCAGCAGCGGGAAGGTGCTGCAGCAGCTACTGCAGGAGCATTGCAGCGGACGGGCGGGGCCGCGCAGCAGCCCTTGCAGCAGGATCAGCAGGAGCAGCAGCAGTTGCTGCAGCAGCAGCAGCAGCAGCAGGAAGAGCACAGGCGGCATCTGCAGAGGCAGCTAATGCAGCAGCTGCAGCCGCCTGAGGGTCTTCACTGCGGCCCCGCCGGTAGATTAGCGCTGAAGCAATTCTTTGAACGTACGGAGGCATATTTGCTGTGCATACACCTCAAGATGCTGCTGCTGTTGATGCTGCTACTGTTGCTGTTGATGCTGCTGCTGTTGCTGTTGATGCTGCTGCTGTTGCTGTTGATGTGCTGCTGTTGCTGGTCATGCTGCTGCTGTTGCTGGTGCTGTTGTTGCTGGTGCTGCTGTTGCTGCTGCTGCTGTTGGCTGTTGCTACTCGGAATGCACCTGGCACCCGCCGAGGAGCAGCAGCAGCGGCTGCTGTTGCTGTGGCTGTTGCGTTCTTTCGATGTCTCAGTTGCTGCTGTTTCTGCACCTCATCTCTCATCTCCGCTGCTGCTGCTGCTGCTGCTGCTGCTGTTGCTGCTGCAGGTGCCTACGTGCTGTCGCGCGCCCCGCTATCAGCAGAACCTTGTGGGGTGAGAGACCCAAGGGTATCTGCTGCCATGCAGCAGCAGCAGCAACAGCAGCAGCAGCAGCAGCATGGAGCTCTGCGGCCTGGTCTTTCCACCCGAGGCGGCGCGAGCTGCCCCCCAGCAGCAGAAGCAGCAGCAGCAACAGCAGCAGCGCAGCAGGACGGCCGAGAGTGCACAGATGGCGTTTGCGGCGTTGATGGTGGAGCAGCAGCAGCAGCAGCAGCAGCAGCGGGAGCAGCAGGAGGGTGTTCAAGGGTTGCTTCAGCAGGAGGGAGTTCAGCAGCAACCACAGCAGCAGCAGCAGCAGCAGCAGCAGCAGCAGGTGTGGGCTTGGCTCCTGCATCTCCAGCAATAATCGCTTGCCGCCGCTGGCAGCAAACGCAGGGCCTGGCTGACCGTCGTGCTGCTGCAGTTGTCTCTCTGCTGCAGGCGTTAGGTCTCCCTAGGAATCAGACTTATAAAGAGCTGTTCAATTTCTTTTTGCTTCCGAGGGTGCTGCAGCGGGTGCAGCGGCTGGCAGCAGAACTGCAGAAGGCGAGGAAAGCAGCAGCAGCGGGAGGCAGGCAGCAGCAGCTCGTGCTGCAGCAGCAGCAACACGCAGCAGCAGCAGCAGCTGCTGCTGCTGCTGCTGAACCCGCAGCAGGACGCAGAAGGCTCTCCGTTGATGCGGGAGGCGGTGCAGCAACAGGAACAGCAGCAGCAGCAACAGCAGCAGCCGCAGCAGCAGCAGGGACTGCAGTAGACTGCGTCTCTGCTGCAGCAGCAGCAGCAGCAGCACGAGCAGCAGCAATAGAAGCCGTGCTGCAGCGAGCAGTTAGGGAGATCACCCCAACGTTTCAGGTGCGGCCGCTGCAGCCGCTGCTGGCGGCGCTGCTGCAGGCGCTGCTGCCGCAGCAGCCAGATCAGCAACTGATGAAGCTGCTGCTCTCTGGTTCTGCTGCTGCAGCAGACTTCTTAAAGGTGAGAGGTGGCAACACACCGCAGCAAAGTGCTGCCTGCAGCAGCAGCAACAACAACAGCAGCAGCAGCAACCCACAAACAGCGGTAGCAACAGCAGTTGCAGCAGTCTATTTGCAGTTGCCTTATGCTTATTTTGCTGCACCTTATTTGAATTTGTTGGTACTCTTGCTGCCGCTGCTGCTGATGCTTCTACTGCTGCTGCCGCTTCTGCTGCTGCTGCTGCTGCTGCTGCAGGTAGCGGCGCTGCCTACTCGTCAGTTGGTGTGGCTTCACCAGCCTTGGCGCTTTCATGATGAGGTGTCTGTACACCTCGATGCATGCGCTGCTTTGCTGCACGTCGATGTTGCTGATGCGGTGCTGCGGCTCGTCTCTACACACCCAGATACAACCGCCTCCAGTAGCAGCAGCAGCAGCAGCAGCAGCGGTAGCAGCAGCAGCGGTGGCAGCAGCAGCGGTAGCAGCAGCAGCGGTAGCAGCAACAGCAGCAGCAGCAGCAACGTGGCGCTGCAGGTGCTGGAGCGGGTTGACCTGCTGCTGCAGCTTGTTGCAGGTAACAGGTGTCTGTACAGTTTGCTGCTGTCTATTTTGCGTTTGAAATTTCTTCATTCGCTGCTGCCGGTAGGTAGATTTAGAATAGCAATTAAAAAGACAACCGGCAGCAGCAGCAGCAGCAGCAGCAGCAGCAGCAGCAGCAGCAGCAGCAACTTGCCGGCCTTCTCTCCCAACCCGGACGTCTTGGAGGCAGCAGAGTCTGCTGCAGGCGGTGCAGCAGCAGCAGCAGCAACCGGCTGGGGTGGCGGGCTTGGGGGGCACTTCATTCCTATTGAGAGCATTGCGCAGCAGCAGCAGCAGCAGCTGCAGCAGCAGCAGCAGGGTACAGAAAGGCATGCTGCAGCAGAAACAACTCCTCAGTCTTGTAGCGACGTATCCCTTGCACATGGCGGGCAGTCGCCTGCTGCTGCTGCTGCTGGTGCAGCAGCAGCAGCAGCAGGAAGAGAAGCGACAGACACCCCCTCTTCTCTCAGCGGCCGCGAGGACCTTGAAGGTGCAGACAGCTCTAGCAGCAGCAGCAGCAGCAGCAGCAACAGCAGCAACAGCAGCAACACGTACGAGTGTTCCGGCGTGAAGTGTGAAGCAGCATGGGGTACTCTGCGTTTGCTGCTGTTTGCTCGCTCTCTCTTTTTATATAAAGACACCGAAGCAACAGCAGCAGATCCTCAGGCAGCCCTGGCCCAGTTTGCTTTGCATGCGGCACAGTAAGCTACTCCTGCTGCTGCTGCTGCTGCTGCCGGTCCTGTTGTTATTGCTGCTGTTGCTGCTGTTGCTGTTGCTTCAGCAGCAGTGGCCGTGCCTACCTGTTGCGGGGCATGAGGGGATGCTGCTGCTTTTGCTGCTGCTGCTGCTGCTAAATGCATGCGCGGCAGTGCTTCTTTCGATCGGAAGGTCCCTGGAATGCGGCTGCTGCTGTTGATCCTTGTTCTGCTGCTGCTGCTGCTGCTGCAGGGTTGGCCTAGAGGATGATGACTCGCCGCAAATGCAGCAGCTGCTGTTTGCGCGGGAGCCCAAAGAGGAGCTGCGCAGCTGCAGGGTCAAGGTAATTCTAGCTGCTGCTGCTGTTCTTGCTGCTGCTGCGTTTGCTGCTGCTGCTCCTGCTGCAGCTGCGTTTGCTGCTGCTGCTGCTGCTGCTGCTGCAGTTGGTGCTTCAGAGCTGCAGCTGCAGCGGCTGGTACGACATGGAGGATTTGGAGCGTTGCGCTAGCTGCTGCCACTGCTGCTGTTGCTGTTGCTGCTGTCAATCCTGCTGCTGCACCAATTGCTGCTGCTGCTGCTGCTGCTGTTTATATCTGCAGTCAAGCGGCGATTTGCTGGACGTCGCGCTGCTGCTGCTGGCGCCCCCGGTGCTGCGCTGCCTGACGCGGTGTCTCAGCAGCAAACTGCTGCAGCAGCAGCAGCACAATTCTTTCTGTTCTCTTGATGATGATGCTGCCTCACGCCACTTCCTCGGCCTCACGCTGCTTGGTGGGTATTTTAAGTGCTGCTGCTTTTGCTGCTGCTGCTGCAGTTGATGCTGCTGAATCAAGGCCACCTGCTGGTTGAGAGTTTGTATCTGCTGCTCATCTTGCTGCTGCTGCTGCTGCTGCTTCGCAGGTCTCTCTGCTCCTTACGTTGGCCTGATGAAGTTTCTGCTGGAGTCGCCGCCAACTGCTGCTGCTCTTGCTGCAGGCGCCCAGCCGGGACTGCAGCAGCAACAGCAACAACAGCAGCAACAGCAGCAGCAACAGCAACATCAGCAGCAGCACCACCAGCAGCGGTCTAGCGGAAGGCCCAGCCATTCTGACGCTGCTGCAGCTCCTGCTAGCAATAGCAGCAGCAACAGCACTAGGAATGCTGCTGCTCAGGAGGCGGCAACGCCAGCAGCTGCTGAAGGGGTTGGTGCAGCAGCAGCGGCAGCAGCAGCGGGCGCTCGAGAGTTTAAAGGCAGCATATTTGATGATGAGACAGAACAAGAAGCTCCAGCTGCTTCGCCCCCCGCACGGCCAGCAGCAGCAGCAGCAGCAGCAGCAGCAGGGCCCGTCGGGTTTCCACCTGTTCGCCCGCAAAGGGGTGCTACTGGGCATTCGCATGCAGACGCAGCAGCACTGCCTCCTCCTGCTGCTGGTGCAGGGAGGAGCACTAGCAGCAACTGCAGCAGCAGCAGCAGTAGCATGAGCGGGTATCTTCGCTCGAAGCGGTCTCTCTCTAGCAGCGAGCTGCCTCCCTTGGCGCGGCCCCGCAGTGGCAGCGTCGGTGAGCAGCAGCAGCAGCAGCAACAGCAGCAGCAGCAGCAGCGACGGCAGCTGGCGATCCCTCTGTCTCGTGTGCTGCAGCACTTAACGGATGGTGCTGCTGCTGCTGCAACTTCTCGCGTATTGTCTGTTGTACAGGGTTGCTTCCGGCAGCAGCAGGCAGAGGCCAGCGCAGCAGCAGCAGCAGCAGCACCAACAGCAGGAACAGCAGCAGCAGCAACAGCAGCAGCAGCAGCAGCAGCAGGACGAGGGGTTGTGATTGGATATGAGGCTTCGCTGCTCGCTCTCTGCTGCCCCACATCTTTTCTTTCTGCTTATCTTCCTTCGTTTGGTGGCTATGCTTGGTCAGGGTTGCTGGCGAGCTTATTAACTCTATTTGCAACAGAGCCGCAGCAGCTGCAGCAGCTGCAGCAGCAGCAGCTGCAGCAGCACCAGCAGCAGCAACAGCAACGCATTGCTGCCCTAGCCAAAGCCATACTCAAACAGCAAGAACAGCTGCAGCAGCAAGCAATACCCCCAAAAGACTGCATGCAGCAGACGCTGCAGCTTCTGGCGAGATGTACGCATGCACTCAACGCAGCAGCAGCAGCAGCAACAGCAGCAACGGCTCCAGCTGCAGCAGCAGCAGCACCAGCAGCAACTCGAGCAGCAGCAGCAGCAGCAGATACGTCGGAAGGGCTGCGCGGCGCCTCTCCTGCACTAACGGCGTTTAGTGCTGCTGCGGACGCTGCAGCAACTGAAGCACCCAACACCGCAGCAGCAGCAGCAGCAGGAGCAACAGCAGCAGCGGCAGCAGCAGGATCGGCGAAGGGAGGAGGTGCTGCTTCTCTTGCTGCTTGCGCTTTGTTTTGCTCGAAACTTCGGGTGGCGCTGCTCTCTGTTTGTGATGAAGACGTCTGCCGCAGGTTGCTGCTGGCAGCCAACATCGAGCTGCTGCTGTGCAGACTGGTATACTTCAAACCCTAAACCCTAAACCCTAAACCCTCGGTAGCAGGAAAGCAGTGGGAAGCAGCACCGTTCGAATGCCTGCGTTATCCTATTACCTTTAGCTTGATTGTATACTGCATTTGCTGCTGTTGTTGCTGCTGCTGCTGCTGGGGTGTACTTGCAGCTGCTGTTGTGTCTCCCAGGGACAAACTGCGGCAGCCCAATCCACCGCCGACTGCTGCAGCACCAGCAGCTGAAGTCTGCTGTTGTTAGTGATGCTTTGATTGTCTCTTCTTTAAAGAGGAAGCATAGACAAGCAGCAGCAGCAGCAGCAGCAAAACAACAGTCTGCTGCTGCTGGGGATGCTCCTCATGCTGCGGATGCTGCGGCTCCAGTTGCTGCGGTTGGCGCCTCGCCGGCAGCATCAGAGACCAGCGAGCCCCAGCAGCAGCAGCAGCAGCAACAGCAGCAGCAGCAGCAGCAGGATGCGGAGAAGAGCAGCTTTATTTGTTCTGCGACGGTTGAAATTGGCTTTCTGCAGCTCTTTGAAAAAAAAGAAACCGTCAGATTGGCGTTCCTCCCAGTGAGCACCTCTCCACCTAGCTAGCTAGCTAGCTAGCTAGCTAGCTAGCTTGTTAGCCTGGATAGCTAACAAGATATACTTAGCTATCCAGCTAGCTAGCAAAGCACGCCAGCAGCTAGCCAGACACCCCGCTAGCTCGCTAGCTAGCTAGGTATTTGTTCGGATGAGGGTTTTTCAGCTAGCTGGCTACCTGTTGGTTAGCTAGCTAGCTAGCTAGCTAGCGGGCAACTTGTTGGTTAGCTAGCTAGCTAGCTAGGTAGCTAGCTAGGTGTGGCGTTATTAGTGTTGTTTGTGTGCATGCACGGGTTGTTGCTGCATGCAGGGTAGACTGGTGAGCCCTTTGCTGCTGGACGCGTCGCGGCATTTGTTTGCTGTTGCGGGTCTTTCACCTTCTTTTCCTTTCTACTCGCTGCTGCTGCTGAGGGTAAGCACATCCAAAACCCTAAACCCTAAACCCTAAACCCTAACTCTACGCAGCCTCACCCGCAGCAGCCTCATCGTCTGTCTACGCACCTCCTCTCAGCTGCTTCTGTTGCTGTTGCTTCTGTTGCTGCTGCTGTTGCTGCTGCAGGAAGCAGCAACCCGTCGCCTGCTGGGCATCCCTCGGGCCATTGCTGCTATAGAAAGCCTGAAAAGGTCCGCTCTTGCTGCTGCTTTGCTGCTGCTGCTTTGCTGCTGCTGCTTTGCCGCTGCTACATTTGCTGCTGCGTTAGCGCTACTGCAGAGCTGCTGCTGCTGCATTGTTGCTGCTGCAGTCATTTTGCTGCCCGTGGAGCGCTGCTGTCAAACCCTCAGAAGCAGATGCTGCTGCTGCTGCTGTTGCGCTGCTCAGGTTAGCGGCAGATCGATATGCTGCTGAGGGATCTTATTCTGTAGTGGTGAGCGCTGCAAGCCCTTAAGCATGCAGCAGCAGCAGCAACAGCAGCAGCAACTGCAGCAGCAGCAGTGGGGTTGCTGTTTGTTTATTCATTTGTTCTTCACTTTGTTTGTCGTGTTTATGTTTTTTCCTGCTTATTTATTTATTTCGTTTATTTGTTATTTATTTATATATCTGTTTATTATTTAAATTAGTTTATGCTGTTTGTTTGCTGCAGGCTTCGGTCTTCTCCGCTGCTGCTGACACCGCACTGGAATTCTTGCGCCGCTCTCTATGAGCGGCAGCAGCAGCAGCAGCAGCAGCACTACTAGCTGCAGCAGCAGCAGCACAACCAGTTGCAGCAGCAGCAGCAGCACTCGTGGGGCTGCCAATACAATCAGTGTCGAGGGATTGCCTGTATAAGGCTTTTCGGTCTGCTGCAGCAAACAGCCGCAGCAGCAGCTGCAGCTGCGGCTGCTGCAGCAGTGTCTTCTGTTGCTGGAACTGTAGCAGCAGGAGGTAACAGCAGAGCCAGCAGCAGCGACAAGTGCTGCCGCTGCTCGGCAGCAGCAGAAGCTGCTGCTGTCCAGATGCGCTCCGAATACATGCAGCAGCCACAGCAGCAGCAGCCGCAGCAGCAA